ATCCAAGCCAGGAAAAGCCTCTGACGTCGGCACCACGGCCGCGAGCCGGTGGGGGAAGGCGGTGGAGGGGATATCCCGCATCATAAAACCAGGATCACATCACCCGTGAGTTACCCACAGGGAGGGGGACAGATCATTTTCCCCCAAATGCTGAATTTTTGGTGCTTTTTTTTGCATTTTTGATGAGCGTCTCCCACTGGCTGTGCCTCTTAGGGTGCAAGCAGGAGTTGGGCTAAAAAAAAAAAGCTGTAGCTGCACACCCCGTATTTAGGCTGCTCGGGGAGGGTTGTAGGGTGGGGTGAAACCCCAAACAGCAGCTAAAGGGGATGTCTGCAGCACCTCGTGTTACCTGCGGGGCTGTAGGTGCCTCTTCAAAGAATGAAAGTGCAAATAAAAGATAAAAAGGGGTCGATTGATCGTGTTACCCCGGCCTCGGGTGCATTCCCTGCTTGCACAACAGCTGGGAGGACCGTGCTGTTATCTGTCTGTCTGTCTGTCTGCCGAGCTATCTGATCTTCCCCAGTCCTCCCTCTCCTCCCTGCCTCCCAAGTGCCTCCTGCTTGCGAATCTCTGCTCTGACATCGTGCCAGCATCCTGGCCTCCTTCCTAAATACCACCAAAAACTCCTTCAGGCCAACCGGGGATATAAAATAAGGGGCCACACGATTCTTTTTTGCAAATTTAGGTGGGAGCTGGTGTTTTAACCACGTGCTGAAAGGGGGTGGAGGGAGATTCAGGAACTCCTCACCCACTTTTTGCAGCTCAACACCTGGAGCAGGACGTGCCGGTGGCCGTCGGGCTCCTGCGGGGTTTCTTGTTTTTGTCTCTCTCCTCCCGGACCTTTCCTGTCGAGTTCCCGTTTCCTTCCGCGCGGATGCGGCTGGAGGAAGTCTCAGCGCGGTCGCTTTCCTCTGGCCGGCCCCTGCGATGGCCCCACATCTTCTCCAGGTCCTTGGGCACAGTGGCCGTGGGTTTCCTGTAGGCACCGCCGTGGATTTGTGCAAAACCACTACGTGGGAATGCCTGGGACCCCTCAGAACCTTGCCTTCTGTTTTGGGGGTGTCAGGATGGAGATGCTCTCAGTGGAGCCGTGGCTAGGAGCAGAAGGACTCGGTCGTAAGTGGAAGAAGAGGTTGGTGGAGTCCTGCTACGTGAGCCGAAACCCGCCGAGCAGATGTAACACAGCTGGGTGTTTTGCTAGTTTTTTTTTACTGAAGGTGAAGGTTGAGCATGAGATGAGCGCGCTCGGGAGATGGCTGTATTTATGTCCGGGTAAGATGTGCATTGTCTGGGTGTGTAAGGCCCTTTGTTCCAAGTGAAAAAACCCACGTGGAGCAACGATTTGGCTCTGCAGAGCTTCCTTTTCCTTCGCTTGGGGAGTTGCTGTGTTTAGGAAAACCTGACTCTAGCAGCTGCATCCCGCTAACCCCAGCCACACCGAACACCGGCTGTTCCTGCAGCCTGCCTTCTGCTCGTCAACCAAGCCCTTTCATTAGCTGCAGCGAGGAAGATCTGCCCTTTATTTTGTGTCAAGGTACGGGGAGGACGAGCAGCCCCATCCCTGCCATTGTAGGGTCCATCCCCAGATAGCTGGGATGAGGCCATGGTGTGCACCACGGAGCCACCAGGCTGCAAATAAATAATTAGGAAGGGAGCTTGGTGCTCTTCTCCACTCCAAGGTGTATTCTTGGGGTGGTGGCTTGGTGGTCTCCATGTCCTGGAGCAGCATCCCCATCCACTTGGGTCATAACAACCCCAGGCAGCTTGGGGAAGAGTGCCCAGGGAAGTGGTGGAGTCCCCATCCCTGGAGATGTTCAAGAAATGTGTGGACGTGGCATGGTTTGGTGGTGGGACTCGGTGGGTTGGTGGTTGGACTTGATGGTCTTGAAGGTCGTTTCCAACCTAGATTGGTTTGGGATTGCTTCCTCACTGTGCCAGGGTGTGTTTAACCTGGATTTGTGTGGGACTCTTGTCTACAAAACCTCTTGCATGCTTGAATCTCTAGAAAGGGCATCCTCATGGTAAATAGGAGCTGGAGATCTCCAGCTCATGGCTTTGCTGGGTGACTTACGCCAGGTTTGTGCCATCCCCAAATCGGGGCTCTCTTTTCGGTCTGAGTTCTGCAGGTCACCCTTTCCTGGGTTTCTCAGACACAAAAGACAGAACCATCCTCTTCCAGCTCCAAAAAGCATGTAGGGAATTTTTGGGATGGGACTTTGTCCATCCAAGCAAGCTGAAGTCCATGTATGCATGCAGAGATGAAGTTTTCAGCACAAATTGAAAAAAAAAATGAGCACAAAATGAATCTCTTCTGTCTTGTCAGCCAGGCTGAGCTGCAAGGTGAGGACATTTGGGACCACGTGGCGAGTCCCCAATTCTTTCCCCTTCCTTCATTGGGCTTCATCCCGAGGAGCTTGAGCCTGGAAGACCAGCACCGTGCCACCGCGCATCCTCCTCCAGGGCTGATTTACTGCTTGTGCTTCCTCCTGCTCCCCTGGAGCTCTTGAGGCTGAAGGGTATTTATTCACTTGGCAGGTTATTAATATGAGCTGAAATCCCCTTGTCCACATTGTTCTGCCGCACTTAATATGGTAATCAGCCTGTATGGCCGGGGATGATTTGCGATTGAAAATCCATTAGGAATTTATGGGCTTTGGGCTGAATTGCTGGGACGTGCAGTTGCCAAAATACTTGAAATGCTTCCCCTGGAAATGAGACCTTGTGGGAAATGAGTGCTCGCTTTTCTCAAACACGATCAATTCCCAGTGAATCTCCATTGCCGGCAGCGAGTACACCCGAGGCAATAAAAAAAAGCCCTATAATACGAAGTTCACCTATGGAGCACGAAGTGTGGGATGGAGACCAGACTACGGCTCCCGACGTGCAGTGCAGAGCTGCACTCAAGCCCTTCCAACCCCAACCAGTCTGTGAAGATGGATATCAAAATAAAATGCTGAGAGGCTGCTCGAATCAGACCCCAAATGCAGCTCTCACCTCACTCCCATCCTTCAGCCGACCTTGCAGCCTCTTAGCAGCCACCAAAATGGGATTTTCTCAGTGAGAACTGCAAAATCCCCCCTGGGACATCCCACTCACCCTACAGCCCCAAAATCAAGCCCATTTTTAACGAAGCTTTGCAGGAAACAGCAGCTGCCCTGCACCCATCACTGCAGCTGGTACCACCCCATAATCCAGTCTGGGTTTGAGTTTTGCAGAGCATCCTCGCAGGACAGGTGAACGTTTTTCTTCAGCAAAAAAAAACAATGGTGTGGTGTGGGTGCCACCGCTCCCATCCTCACGTCCTTCCTGCTTCATCCCTTGCTAGAAAAACCTGGTTTGGTGGGACCAGGGTCTGTGGAGGGATCTGTGCCAAAATCCCCTTCAATTTTGGTGCCTGGCTCCATTCAATCTCCTTTCCATAAACCCATCCTCGCAGGGCCAGGCGCCGTGCTGCGCGTCGGGGCAGTGCCAGGGTTGGCACGTGCTGCAAATAATTAACAATTAGTGCACCAGCAGTGGGAAAATCCGTGATTTGCACAGCCAACCTGGGCACGTTTCAGTCGGAAAGCTTCCCCTTGCCACACCACCTGCTTCGTGGCTTTATTTTTTTTTTCCCTGTTGATTTTTTTTTCATTCCAACCACTCGGAAAACAAGCGGGTGGGCTGCCTGGAAACGATGCCTGGGTGCCGAGGAGCCCGGCGGCGATGCTGGTGCTCAGCCACCTCCCGGCCCCGCTTTGTCTCTTTGCCTCGGAGCCTTTTTGGGGTAAAATGATGCAGGGGAAACTTTCCGGGAGATGAGAGGAGAGGCAAGGGGGCGCGTGCTCGCCCAGCTCCGGTTACTTATGTGCTTATGTTCTATTTTGAGGCTCCGGCCACGCGGCGTTAAGCAGCCGCTGACCCAGGGATGGGACAGGCTTCAAAACAAGAGTCCGGTGGGTGATGATCTTGGAAAACACTGGGTTTCTCTAAGCCCAGCACGGGGCTTGTGGTGTCCTCATCTTCCTCCAGATCCATCCTCTCGTGGCTGTTCGCCTGGTGGTCATCATATTGGGTTTTGCTCCCTCTGGTTTAACCTCAGGGAGAGGAGGCTGGGTGGCCAGGGAGATATTTAAGGCTGAATTTTGCTGATCGTGCCCACCTTTGGGTGCTCTCACACCCCGAGGAAGGGTGCTGTGGCTGGTAAGGACCTGGCTTCTAGGCAAACTTTGTGGCTTTCTCCTTCCCATCACCAACACGAAGGCAAAGAGGTGTCCCCGTGCTGCCGGGGTACCCCGTGGGCAGCAGTGTGCCGCCAGCGGGGCGAGCGAAGGAGCATCCAACCCCAGCAGCAGCAAAACCACCCGCCTCCCACCTCCTCCTCCGCCAACCCCCCTCAATAAAAAGCTCATTTGCAGGCGGCTTAGTCGGCCTAAGAGCATTAGGGATGCATTTGGTTGACATTAGCCGCTCGAGTCGCGCCAGGAGCGTGTGGCTGCTTAGGGGCAGGCTGGGCGCGTTGTGCGCGGTGCCGAGGTTGCCGGGACGCTCAGGTAAGGTCCGGAGGGATGGGATGGGTGAGAAATCGGGGTGCTGCCCCAACACGCCACCCCCACGGGGGTGCTGTCGGGGCGGTTACGAAAACGCCGCCGAGTTGCGTAAAAAGGCGGGTGGCTATGGAGGGATTGGGGCGAGCACGTGCCGGCCGGCACAGCCCGCACCCAAGGGGCAGGAACGCCAGGACCCCTCGCCCTTCACCACCTCGGAGCCTCCTCATCCTCCTCCTTGCACCTCTGACTGTCACCCGAACGTCAGAGCAGGCTAGGGATGCTCATCGGGGATGCAGGTTCTGGCACAAGCCATTAGGCCCATCCACTTGATGCAAATAGGGTTTTATCTCCGTGTCCCCATCCCATCCACCGTGAACCTTTTGGAGACACGGAGAGCAGTGCCAGGGGTTCCTTTGGTTTGATTCATGGGGCTGCCCTGACCTCTGCCTTTTACTTTCCCTCCCCTTACAGCCTCGCTCTCCGCTGGGATTTATGGAGGTGCTGAGAAGCAGCTTTGAGCACTGCAGCCCCCGGCCGCCTCGCCTCGCCCGGCGTCCCGACCTTCGGATTTAACCATTCAAGGCTCCCGTGCATGGATTGCCCGAGCCAGGCACCGCTGCCGGCCACCGCCGCCGCCGCCCCGTAGGCTCCCGGCCGCCCTTGCCGCCCCCAAGTACTCCACATACCCCGATGGGGTAACGTGACGGGGCCACCCCCGTGCCACCACCATCCCCATACGCAGAGGCCTTTCTAGAGCGCGGCACCGGAGGCGACAGCCGCTCGCCATTGCACACGCCGAGGACGCCGACACTACAGCAAAGGGATTTTTATTTTGTTTTTTTGTTGTTCTTTTTTTTTTTGTAATTATTATTATTATTATTATCATTAATATTATTACTACCGTTTGGCTTTCACCCCGGGGGGGCTTGCGGTGTGTCGAGGAAGCCGGCGCACTCCCAGGAGCTGGGATTATTTGCACAACGTTTGTACATTGAGTTCTCGATCCTGTTTTTGGTGTTTTTTGTTTTTGTTTTTGTTTTTTTTTTAAAGCGCAGAGGGGTGTTGGGTTCTCTTTTCCCCTCCACGCCACGCTTTTCTTGGGTTTTTTCCCGCCCCCCCACCATCAGCATCACCTCTGCGTCACCGTCCTCCCATCCCACCATGGCCCGGATGAACCGCCCTGCGCCGGTGGAGGTCTGCTACAAAAACATGAGGTTCCTCATCACTCACAACCCCACCAACGCCACACTCAGCACCTTCTTGGAGGTAAGAAGGGTCGTGGTCCCGTTGCACTTTTGGGGGATTAAAGCTGCAGTCGGCTCACTGGGATGCAATGGGGATGGATCGCGGGGTAGCTCACCCATAGGACACCAGCGCAATCCTATTGCTACCCCCCAGCCTCAATGGCATCCTGGACGAGGTCCTTATCATCACCAGCTTTTTAGGGCAGGATATTTTGGAGGACCCTGAGTGTGGGGTTTTTCAGAGCTTCACCAACCCCATTGCTGCCAGCTCCAGCAAAACGTCACCTTTTGCAGTGAGATGTGCAAACGCACGCAACCCCCCCGGCATCTTGACAAAGTATTTCCCACCCCAAATATCCCAGCACCTCCAAGAGAGCGGGAAAACCCCCCGTACCCAAAAAACCACACGTGAGCACTGGGGACATGTGTGAACACGAGGGAGAAATCCAAAACAGCCACCCCACACTGGTGGCATAATTCCCCTTCTTTCCAGCCGCTGTGATTTCTGGCTGAGCACACGGGGATTCGCCGCGGTTTGGCAGCCGCGCCCTGGGCAGGGATCAGCGGGATCATCCGAGCCCCCGGCCCGCCACGAGCAGGCACCGGGATGATCTCAGGCGGCGCCCTGCCGGGGCTGATACGCCGGCACGTAATCCAGGGGCAAGCCGTGCCACGGGTGCTAAGCCCGGCTGGAAGGAGCCCAAGTCCCGGCGTGCACGCAGCGCGTTCGAGTAATTAACTGGTGGGGTACGGCAGCAAAACGCCTTCGTCAGGCCCAAAGAAGCCCCGGGCAAGATGTTGAGTGGGTTCAGAGGGGTGTGCCAAGCCCTCATCCATCTCCACGCGCTTCTGCAGGGGGAGTTTAAACCTTGCTGAGCACCACTAACACCTGTTTTGGAGGATTTGTCCCTTTTTCGGGGATTTTTCTTTGGGGCACGCACTGCAGCTCTGCATCGTCCCGTGCTGCAGGTTTTGCTCTTGCTGCTGGGATCCCAGGTGCTATTTTAGTCCTGGTCTTTTAATCCTCCCATTTTGTGGTCCTGGTCTTTGTCTTGGGTGCTTGCATGGGAAATTTGATGTGTTTCCAAATCCCTTCGTGGCTTTAAAATTAAATGGCTCCATTGGCGCTCCAGATTAAAAATCCATCCCCGTGCCCATGCAAGGGGTTTGGTGCCCTGGGGTTTAAAGTTTCCTTGGGATTTGTTTTAATGTTTCCTTCCCAGGCCAAGCAGACCATGAGAATTTCTGCTCTAGCATCCAGAGAGATGGGCATGATGCAGTTTTAGGGGATTTGTGGGTCCATGTGGTCGTCACAGGGCTTGGCTACATTGGGGACAACCAGGGTGCATCCCAGTGGGATTTTTCCAGCTCTGCCCGTCCTGAGACCCCTTGTTTCTTTTCCTCCCCAGGATCTGAAGAAGTACGGTGCCACCACAGTTGTGCGAGTGTGCGAAGTGACCTACGACAAGACCCCCCTGGAGAAGGACGGCATCACCGTCATGGTAGGTGGACACCAGAGGGACACCCCCATCCGTGTCCCCCACATCCCACGGCTCCAAAAAGCAATGAGGCTCCACGGGGGGACACGCAGGAGCTCGGGGTCCCCCCGGTCCCATAGGGTAGCACCAGACAATGATGCTCTATCCTCAGCATCTCCGCTTCATGTCCATGCACGAAGGGGGGCTTAAAAATGAGCAAGATCCTTGCTGGGAAAGCTGGAAGTATCTGGGTTGTGTTCGGGATGGATATAGGGGGTGGCGAGGGAGAGATTTGTGGGTTTGGGGCAATTATTGCCTTTCCAAGGTAGCGCAGGAGCCTTTGGAGGTTTGGTTGTGTTGTCTGAGCTGCAGGCTCCCGGCCATGCAGCTGAGGCTTCCCACTGAGCAGGATTTCTGCAGCAAAGCTCCCCCCGCAGCCGGCGCAGGGAGTGTTTGAACAAGCGGGGGGAAATTCTTTTCAAAACAAATGAAAAATCACAGGCTTTCCTCAGTCGGCGGAGGGAAAAAGCTCCAAACAGGAGAAACTCAGCTTGCTTTGAATCCAGCCCGCAGCGATCCAGGCGTTTGCTTACCAGGAGGAGAGAGATGAGGATGATTTCCAAAGCCGAGCCCCAAACCCCATCCCCGGGGTCTGCTCAGCATCCCTCCTTCGGCACAGATCGTGTGCATGCCCCGGAGCTTGAAGGCAGGGTTTGAAGCCCAACTTTGGCCTCGGGCAGAGGCGGGCGAGCTCCCCGCTTGCCGGCGTCGGGCTGAAATTGGGCTGGTGCTTTAAAAAAAGCAAGCAGTGCCCACGCAGCCGAAACTGTGACTCATGCAGCTGAGCCCGCAGCTGCCTGCGCTGCCCGGCGCTGGGGCTTGGGAGCAGCCACGAGAGCCACCGAGCCCACGTGGAAGGTGCACATCGTTCCCGTTACCCTCGGCGATCCCATTACCCCTTATCTAAGGGGGATTAGGAATCGGGAGGCTTTTTTGCTCTTTTTTTTTTTTCTGGGGAATCAAGGGGAGCGAGCAGGGAGAAGAAAGGCAAGGATGCTGAGCTGGCAGATCCCAAGCTGTATCTCGCTGATAAATAATTGGAGGTGATGTCAGGCAGGATTGCCGTGCCGAGGATTTGGCACCAGGTGAGCTGGGAGCCGCTTCCCAGCCTCGGGGGGCAGTGAGGAATGGGAGGAAAACAGCAGAGGAGCTTTTGGGGGGGATATGGGGCACCCCTGTCCTGCCCTTCGCAGAGCAGGCAGGTGGTTTTTGGTGGGCTCCAGCCTTTCCCCAGCTGAAACACGAGGGTGTTCTCCCTGTTGGGAAGGGTCTGGGAAGCCCAACTTGATGGTGTGGGGAGATGGAGAGTTCTCACTATAAAAGATATATCCTAGATTTAAGGGATATCCTAGATATCAATAGAGATATACCCTAAATATAAGGGATATCCTAAATATCAATATAGATATACCCTAGATATAAAGGATATCCTAGATGTCAGTTATAGATATACCCTAGATATAAGGGATATCCTAGATATCAATAGAGATATACCCTAGATATAAAGGATGTCCTAAATATCAACATAGACATATCCTAGATACAAGGGATATCCCAAATACCAGTATAGATATACCCTAGATATAAGGGATATCCTGGATATCAATACAGATATACCTTAGATATAAGGGATATCCTAGATATCAATATAGATATATCCTAGATATAAGACATCCTATATATATAGATACATATCCTGTATGTAAGATACATGTATAGATAGATACAAATGCATCTTTTATATAAGATACATTCTAGATGTAGGGAGATACATATCCTATATGTATACCTATATATCCTATATATAGGATATACCTATATCCTAGATATATACCTATATCTTATAGAGAGAGATACCTATTTCCCAGGTACAGAACCTCAGCCTGGAGGACTTCAGCCACAAATGAGGTAAAAAACAGAATTTGGTCTGTAAGACAGGAGAGACTGTGCCCTACGTATGCATCCTATATGTGGGATATCGCTGTTGCTCTCTGTAAGACATGTCCTATATAGAAAGGTATCTACATCCTAGATCTATGATATCCTATAGGACATGATCGATATATCTTACGTAGAGAGATAGCTATAGGTAGAGGTGATATCTGTGGATACCATCAAACCATGATGATTCTGTCCCCGTGCTTCCCATCGCTCAGATTTCTCTTCATCCCATCCAAGTGATGCTCTCCTGCCCATCCCTGCTTCACAACCCACTTTCCTCCTGCCAAAAAAAAAACCATTTGGGGATAGAAACGTCCCCATTTTGGGAGCGATGTGCAACCCCAGCTGGTGGTCAGTGCCCATAGGGAGAGACCAGAACACCTGCAGCATTCAAAAGCAAGGAGGAGGATGCTTTTTCCCCCCAAGGAGCAGAGCCTGGTTGGGAAAATGTAGCAGCACTTCACCTGCTACATCACCAAAGCCTGATGTTGAGTCTGTGCAGCTCGAGGAACTTTTCTGATGGCCAGGAAGACGATGTGGCAGCGAGAGCAAAGCCTGCCATTTGGCTCTTGCCCCCAGCAGCCTTTTGGAAAATCAATTTTCTTTCATTTTTGTTCCTTAGTATCCTTCCGTAAGGATGCTGTTTAAATGAGCCCATTTGAAGGGTCTCCCTCTGGAAGGACAGAGCCCTTCGGCTTCTGCTAGAGTTACAGAGGGAGTCCCCAAAATTGCAACCTCCCAGATGGCCCAGGCATCCTTTCCAGGCTGTGAATTTGCTTCCTCCTCACCTTTCTACAGCAGGCTGGATTTTGGAAGTGGGAGATGTTGGCTGTGTCCTGATCACCTTTGTTAAATTTCCTGCAAAGTGGCTTCATGCTCCTGGCACTGGGTGTGCCGGTGAGGGAAAGGATGGGGCTCGCAGCTGCCCAAAGCTCAGCGCGGCTGCCAAATGCAAATGTGTTTGAGTGAAACCCCAAATGAGCTTGGAGGAGGCACACAACGGGCTGTGGAGGCAGGAGGACGTGGGGACAGGACCCCACTGGAGGCCATATAGGTTCTTCTGAAGGATGAGCCTCTTCCTAAATGGAAGACCCTGAGCCTAACACCATCCACCCACAAAACCCTGAGCCAAAGCAGCGCTGCAAAACCCCAAACCCACTCCTATCCCCAGCTGGCTGCACCCTGAGCTCAGTTCCCAGCACACAGCATCCCCCTGGGATAAAAGCAATCCCCTCTGGCTTTCCCCGCGGGGATCTGACGGTGCTTTTCTCTTTTCCCATCCTTCCCCCGTCCCCCAGGACTGGCCGTTCGATGACGGAGCTCCTCCTCCCAGCAAGATCGTGGAAGACTGGCTCAACTTGCTCAAGACCAAGTTCTGCGAAGACCCCGGCTGCTGCGTGGCCGTGCACTGCGTGGCCGGCTTGGGGCGGTAAGTCAGAGCCCAGCAGGAAAAACCTCCCTGCTTCCCCAATCCTGTCCCATTTTTAGCAGGGATTTTGCAGCAGCGGAGATGTTGGGAATAGGCAGTGACGTGCTGCTGCCTGAGCTCCTCCTTGCTCTTCTTGCCTCCTAATTTTGGGTACCACGGGGTACCGGGGATGCTCGGTGCTGTGCTGCGATTGCCCAGCAGTGGTTTTGCTTCTGTAATCTTCTTGCAATGCTTCCACTGAGAGCAGGAGCCCCTGCTGCAGGTCAGGGCTGTGCTTTGCATGTATATTTGGATGTGCTTGTACAAAGATTTGCTTCCAAAATCCTTCCTCTCATGAAAAGAGCAGCAAAAAGCTGCCAGCTCCCTCCTGTGGGTTTGACCTCCAGGATCAGCCAGTCTTTGGGGCAGCGCTTGCAGCTGTAAATTTTAATTTACAAATTAAAATCCGGAGCTGGCGACTGCCCACAAAACCGCTGTCACAGCCCCGTGGTCCCCACGGTGTCACCACCCCAGGATGGAGCATGAGCTCCTGGATTTGGGCTGCGTGGCAGGGGGGTGACCGTCCTGCCGTTGCCTTTCAGCGCTCCTGTCCTCGTGGCACTGGCCTTGATCGAGAGCGGGATGAAGTACGAGGACGCCATCCAGTTCATCCGACAGTAAGTGCCCCAGCGAGCGGTGTTTCAGCACACAAACCTGGTTGGGGTGGGAAGGGACCTCTGGGGCCATGTGCTCCAGCCCCTGCTCAAGCAGGGCCACCTCCAGCAGGGTGCCCAGGACCACGTCCTGGTGGCTTCTGGAGGTCTCCAAGGAGGGAGAAAGCAGCCCTGCTCCAAGAGAATGGAAAGATCTGGTGCAGCTCAGCTTTTGGGAGGTTCCTGTTGCAGGAGGCTGTGCCTTCGTGTCATCCTGCAGCGTAGGATTTTAGGGTGACTCCAGACAAATCCACCTCCATGCCCTTGCTCAGGGCACCTGCAAGGAGCTTGCACTGGGACCCGGTGCCACTGCTGGGGTTTGTCCCCATCGCTATCCCCTACAGGATGCACGCAGCTTCAGTCTCCAAAATCCCAAATTGTGGCTCCGGACAGGGGATTTTGGCCCTACAACGGGTGAGGTTCGGAAGGGTCTCGCCCCGCACCAACCTCCCTCTTTTCTCATTCCCTGCAGGAAGCGCAGAGGAGCCATCAACAGCAAGCAGCTGACGTACTTGGAAAAATACCGACCAAAGCAGAGACTCCGATTTAAGGACCCTCATAACCACAAGAACAAATGCTGCATCATGTAACCTCAACGACCTCTTGCCAAAACCCGTGCACACAGACACCCCGGGCACTCGCACGCGTCCCCCTCCCTCCTCCCAGCCCTGCGCACCCCACGCACTGCCCTGCTCGCGGACCCCGCTAATAGGGGTCGGGGTTTTGGGGGGACATGGAGCACCCCTGATGTGTGCCGGCACCCGGAACACGCTCACCTTGCGGAATCTCCCCCCAAAAAAAGGATGCTCAGTCCAGTCAAAGCCCCGAGGAGCGAAGGCGGTGCTGCCCTTTGACTCCCGGTGCTAGCAGGCAATGAGTTCCCGTGGTGCCGGTTCTCTGTCGCCTTCCTCCTCCTCTTCCTCCTCCCCTTCCCCTCTTGTTGCACTGAGAGCAAGTCCCGGCATGAGGAGGGATGGATGGGCACAGGGGCACTTGGTTTTGGGGGATGCGGGCCAGGCTGTGCCAGCCAAGGAGGGATGGGGAGCAGGAGGGCCGGGGTACCCCAAATAAAAACCTTTCCCACCTCTTCCCTAAAAATAAGGGCTGCAGCAGCAGGGATAGGGGTGGTGATGGGAAGGAGGGAAGAAGGGGGTTCGTAGCATGGTGCTGGCCCTGTGACCTCAGGAAGGGCTGAGCTAAGCCCCCCCAGCACCATTCCCTTTCTCCTGCCCCCCTCTCCATCACCATCTCCCTGTGGGGATCACGGGGGGCTCGCAGCCCCTCCAGGTCCCGCAGGGCTGCAGCGAAGGCAGAGGCACCAGGAAATTTGGGGATAGTGGCAGGGCTTTGAGGCACCCAGCTTTTGGGGACGCAGAGTCAGCGCTGGGTCCCTCCAAATGCAGGGTGCTCTTATTTATAGCTTCCAAACTCAAAGTAGAGGGTGGTGGTTTCTCTCTCCCCGCATCCCCCCAGCTGAGCTCGCAGCGATGCTGCAGCACCGAGCGTGTGCTCAGCATCTTTCCCATTGCATCCCCAAGCCACGGGGCAAACCCAAATTCTGGCTGTGATGCCCTGGGAACACAAAAGTGCATCTCGGGGCACATCCACATCCTCCAGCATGGCGTTTGCTGGCCAAAGGGCTGGGCTGTGGCTTTCCTGGGGGATTTGGAGTGCTCCTGGCAAGAGCGTGTCACCAAATTTCGCACCTGCCTTTCCCCTCTCCTCCCCCGTGGCATCTGCACTGCGTGCGCTTGGCACCCCAAAAAGCCTTGGTGCGTGCCATGGGGTGGGTGCAGAGCTGCCCCCAAGCCGGGACGTGAAACATCTCTCAACTTTCTGCCTTTGAACGCTTGCAGCAGCGGGAGTGGTGGGCACATAGGGGGCACAGGGGTGTTTTTTTTTTTTCTTTTGATGAGGGTAAGAAGAAATTTGCTAATTAAAGGAAAAAAAAAAAAGTTTGTCTTCCGCACGTCCTCTGGCCTTTCTTTCTCCCATCACTGCCCTGCAGAGCTCGGGAGGTAACCCACAGCCACCCAGCCTCATCCTCAGCACCATCGGGGTGGGACAGCCCATGGGGTGGGACAGCCCACACTCCCTTGGGTTTCTCTGCCCCTTTCCAGGCTGTCGGTGCCCACATCTCACGGGGAAGGTGGTGGTGGCCGAAGGGTGGTAAGGTGAGCTGATAAAAGCTGTATCTTGTATTAAAACAATCCCTCTGAGTCAGCATCCCTTTCCTGCTGATTTTCCCAATCACGTCCTGCTGCTAAAATAAGTGCTGTGACAAGGGCAACCCCAATCCCTCTTGGACCTGTGGAAGGTTTAGGATAAGACTGGGAACCACCACTGAGGGTACGGAGGTGTTTCTGCCCTGGGAAAGGGAGGAGAAATGTTCTCACCCATGCTCACAGGAGCACTGCACATCAGATCACCCGGAGAAAGATTTTGGGGGTAACGCAGGGAGGGAGGCAGGCTTGGCAGCGCTTCTTCGCTTCATGTAGCATCCACCCAACACCTTAAAAATAGGGAGCTTGTAGCATTAAGAGCAGTCCTTGACCTGGAAAAATCCACGTGGCCAAATCCTGAGCACCCCTGGCCGGCAGAGCAGCGCCTTGATGTCCTCCGGTTTTGTGAGTCACTGCGAAAGAAACCATGCTGCTTTAATTGCCCTACTTTTTTTCTTCCTTTTTTCTCCTTTTTTTTTCTTTTTTCTTTTTGAATGGATGTGTTCCCCCTGTCCTGGAACTTGCTGTCACCTCCCGCATGCTGCTCCATGGACGGGACAACCAGGAGCTGCCATCCTTGCATGGAGGGTTTGAGACCTCTCCATGTTGAACTGCCAAATATTTGGGATTTTTTTTTGTTTGCCTTTTTTTTTTTTTTTGGACTTGGGCTCCTACCTCTGAGGTACCAGCTCCTCAATGTTTCAGCACAAAGCCAGTTACAGAAACAACCGGCTATGGAAATGGAGTGGTCTTCCAATTGGGTTTTGGGTAAGAAATCTCAGATAACCCAATTCTTTCAATGTCTGGGGACAGTAAGGGGGAAAGTTGGAGCTCGGTAGACATGCAGTGCCTGAGCGAGTCCCGAGTGACCAAGAGCTCATGGTTTGGGTTGATTTTAGGGTCCCTTTTTACGGTAATCTAATCCTTGTCTCACCTCAGATGCCGAGACATGTTGAAAAGGGAGAGGTAAAAAATCCGACACATTTACCAGTTCTGTTACTGCTCCAGTTGTCTCCATTGGATCTTCCAGAAGACCTAGGGAATGAATCCCCCATGGCTTTGGCTGCAAGCAAACCATGTGAGCCCGCCCTGATCTGCAGAGGCAAAGGCACAAATGGGGTTTTAGCCTTCTGCACCCCTATCCCCCCTCCATGGAAACCCTCCATCTGTCCAGCATCCGAAGGGACTCATCTCCAAACCACCTACAAGGTCTCCAGAGACCCAAGCGATGGCAAAACCATCAAGCCAAGAGCTCGTAGGCTTTGCCCAGGAGTAAATCATGGCTGAATATCACATGGGGGATAAACCCAAGCAGGAATTCATGGTTGGAAGGAGGACAACGTGGCCATGAAAAATGGGCAGCTCTTTGCTTAGGGAAGTTCTGGTGGCAGACTTTGCATTTGTAAATTCATATTCTTAATCTTGAAGCTTGGGCTGAGAGCATCGGATGAGGTTTGTGAGTAACAGATTCTCCAAGGATGCAAAGGGTCTTGCTCTGGCTACAACAGAATGAGTCAATTTATTTTATTTTATTTTTCTTGGGTTTGTTTGTTGTTATGTTTTTGTTTTTTTTTTTTAATTAGTCCCAGTGGGGAAACACCCGGGGAGATTCGTGACTTCCATGCAGTTTCCAGGGGCTTCTATCTTATTTCCTTCCAGCGGGCAGGGTAGGTGCAGTTCGGCGGGTGGCTTTGGATGGGATGCTGGCTGGTGGGAGAAAAATGGGTCCAGTTTCTTTGCACGGCAGGGGTCACAGGCCCGTTGTGATCCCACTCACAGGCTCCAGCAGACATTCCCGGGGAGGGGGGCGTTTCGCTGCGCTCAGCTTCCCTTTAGACGACGATCTCCAAATGAACCCTCGACTTCCCCGCTGTTTCTTTCTGTGCAACAAAGGACTGAATATTTTCCTTTTTAACTCCGTGGGCAATCGTAGTAGTATGTAGATTAAGCCCAGATGATTTTTTTTTTTTTTTTTCGGTCTGAGCCATAGCTAAGTTATTGTACCCAATGCTTTTTGTATCAGGCGGCATCACTTTGAATATGCAGATGAGGTATAGGATCTTGACACTTTATAACTTTTTTTAAAAAAGAAACTTGTCTGTTTACTTATGTCTTGTGTAAAAAGGAAAAAAAAATGTATGCCTTTTAGTTATCACTTTTTTTTTTTTTTTTGAGTTCTATGAAATTACAGTGGTTTCACTCCAGCAGCAGCGAAATAAAAAGCGTTTCACTGTTTTGTACATCCCTGTGTGCTGCTGTGCTGCTAGGGTCGGTGGAGGGGTGCACAAGGAGGGTGTATTGGGGTCCTCAGCTGGCATCTTCAGCCCTCTCTTGTTCCCCCCAGATGCATCTCAGCTACATTCCCTGGGATATTTTTACTTGTCTCATCCCCCTGCCCTTTTCTCAGGGCTCCCAGGACAGATAGCAGAGGTGGCTGGGAAAGGGTAGGACCTACTGTGACCTACTGAGACCCCGGAGCACATGCTCGATTAATCACATGCTCAATTGCCAAAGCATGTCATGGTTTGTAGGTATCTGCCTCGTCATCAAATAATTGGCATAAGGAAAGCCCACGCACATGCCCTGATCCAGTGCCTAGCGTGTCTCAGCTGATGGAGTTGGACAAATGCTGTTGCTACTGATGCTGTAAGGTCCAGAGATGCCTTATCCCATATAGAAGGAGCTGGCTCCGTGGCAAGGCTGTAGGGTAGCTAAGCTGACCACCCGATGGTCCTGGTTGAGACCCCAGAGGACCGTGGCTACTAAACTATGCTGTGCAAAACCCTTGAGGTGACCTGTGCAGCAAGTAGCCCTAGTACCAGAAACACCGAATACTTGGATCTACAATGACCAGCCTCTCTGGGCCCTATAATGAAGCAGCAATGGGAGAAACCAGCTCCCAAATAGCCATCACCTACCAGCATGACCTGGGATGGGTTGGGAGCCTGGGCAGGGACTGCAGTTGGAGAGGTGGTGGCTGCTTCTCCCTCTCCTGCTTCTTCTCCCATTATAGACCAGTCAAACAGCTAAATCTACTGGGTGGAGAACAGCCACTGTGACTGAAGGCTTGGGGCAGCATCCTCCAGTTGAGCAACACCAGACGCGTTGACCTCAGTCCACCCAGGAAGGCAGACTGGGTGGACTGGTCAGCACACCATCAAGGAGGAGACAGGCTGGATGTCTGGGCAGGCTGTCTGCTGGCAAGAAGAGGACTTTTGCAGGGAGGCCGTGGTGTCCAAGCCCTTGGAGGAGTTTAAGAACAGGGCTTATGTTTTGCCCCATCCAAGTTCGGGACAGGAGGATGACCTCTGCTATGTGGTTTTTATCCCAAGCCACGCTAATGCTCTGGGGTCAGCTGTGGTCAGCCCAGCCCCTCTCCAGGCTCAGGACACACTGAACAAATTAAAACTGCTGAGATAACTGAGCTAGGCATGACATGGGCACTCAGAGACATGACGGATATCTCAGCATTGCTGCAGGAATTGGAATGTGTTTTCTATGGGAAAATATCTTCCCTCGACTGGGAGAGGGGGAAGGTTGAAATGGTCAGGACTCATAACGTTTTCTGCAGGACAGGAGCTTTGGAAGAGATTAATTGGTTTTTACGTACCCACGCTCACCATCTGGGCCAAATTATAGACCCCTCAGCTATGCCTATGGGGACTCCTTGAGAAACCCAGTCACTATGATGAACCAGCTGAGCAGCAGAAGTGGTGGGCTTTAGAATCATAGTCTCATTAAGGTTGGAAAAGACCTCCAAGATCATCTGGTCCAAGCATCCCCTACCATGGATGTCACCCACTAAACCATGTCCCTAAGCACCAGGCCCAACCTTTCCTCGAGCACCCCCAGGGACAGTGACTCCACCACCTCCCTGGGCAACCCGTCCCAGTGCCTGACTGCTCTTGCTGAGCAGAAATGTCTCCTCATTTCCAACCTGAACCTCCCCTGGCACAACTTGAGGCCATTCCCTCTGGTCCTATCACTGGTTACCTGTGAGAGAGGCAAACCCCCAGCTCCCCACACCTTCCTTTCAGGGAGATGCAGAGAGCAATGAGGTCTCCCCTGAGCCTCCTCTTCTCCAGACCAAACACCCCCAGCTCCCTCAGCCTCTCCTGGGCAGGGAGCACAGGCCCAGGGCTCACTGCATAGGAAGCTGCTGCAAGGTAGGTGCTGACATTGCTACTTTAAGGAGTGTCGTAGGTTTTCCTTACACTTCCACTGCCAGATTGATGGCTCAGCATTAGTCTTGATGATTGAACTGTTTGAAACAGGGCTTGTAAGGACCATTTGTCCACCTTTCTGCCCCAAGAATTTGAATCCAGGGACTGATTGCACCCCACAGGGCACAAGAGCTCCCAACATCACCATGTTCCTACAGGGCCAGTGACAGCAGCAGGTAAAGGAAAGACCTTAGGAAGAAATTCTTCACTCAGAGGGTTGTGAGACATGGGATTAGGCTGCCCAGAGAAGCTGTGGATGCCCCATCCCTGGAGGTGCTCAAGGCCAGGTTGGATGGGGCTTTGGGCAACCTGGTCTGGTGGGAGGCGTCCCTGCCCATGGCATGGTGTTGGAACTGGATGATCTTTAAGGTCACTTCCAACCCCAACCATCCTCTGATTCTAAGTAATATGTCCAATAGACTGTAGCTCGAGCTTTTTTGGACACACGGGAGTCCACCTAGAAGAGACACTGCTCACACCTCACCCACATGAGACCTGCTCAGTGCTTCACCATGGGCAGAGACCAGCCATGGGGAACAAAACCAGGCTTTGCTCATGAAACCAGCTGGGTTTTTCACTCTGCCCGCCATGGCCAAGGCAGGAAGGCAAAGACTGGAGGCTCCATGGAGGCCAAGGAGCAGGAGTTTGCAAGAACAGACTGGTAAGGAAGGAAGGCTGACGCTAATTGTGTGAGCTCCTGAGTAATTACAGGGGTTTGGGTGGGGTAAGCAGGGAAGGGGGAAGGAAAGTCCCCTTGCGCTGCTGTAGGCTCGGGGAGACTTTTCAGTGAGATGCTGGCTCGCAAGAAGGGAGAATTGCAGGTCAGATCACACCGGGGCACCATAGCCAAAGATGTCCTTGGTTCGCCCCAACGCTCCTCAAGCGCTCTGCAAGGCAGATCCTTATCTCCCCACCCGCTTTGAACCAGGCAGCTGCAAGGGGCACTGCCTCCAGGTTTGTGCAATAAGCAACTGGGCCTTCAATCAGCCTAATTGCTGCCTCGCCTCCCCACCAGAAGGGCCAGGGGGACTTCTTGAACGCAAGCATGTGTGCTGGAGGAACACCCGCCCGCACTCCTGCCCGTACATGCTGTCTCCTACCTGCCTGCATTCCTCCTCGCCCTCCATCGCCAAAAATTGTGCACCCCTTTGCAGGCCAGCCCCTGACTCTGTTCCGGGCCAGGCTGGTGCCTCTCCATGTGCCCATCATCAAGAGTAGCATGACAGAAGTCCAGTAAATTGGGGTGTGTGGAAGGGTCTGGGTTGGTCACTCATGGGTCTTGGGATCCCTTCACAACTCACACCATGGTCGGTGGAGGACTGGGTACCTGTGAGCCCTACCAAAACCACGTATCTCAGAGCCTTCAGTCATGACAGAACCAAATTTAGTGAGATCCAGCCAGCTCAAGGTGAGCATCCATCGCGTGGTCTCATCCCCACCTCTCCAGTCAGCAGATATCAAGTCAGGAGTTGATACCAGAGACTCAGGAGGGACTAAACTCCTACAGATATCCAGCTCACATGGAGACAGCCACTCTGGAGACCCACAAAGCCTTGGGAGATGACCCATCACTCTAAACTCACTCCATCAACATTATTAAACCACGTCAGAAAGCCAGCTCTCAGCAGAGCCATGGAGTCAAAAATCAGCAGGGACTTCAGTGAAGCCATGGTCCAGGTTCATGAAACTGGATGAAAAATGCTTCATGAGGGCCACTTTGGCCCCTGTTTGCAGCATGCTGAGCTGTGACAAAACTTTCCCTTGCTTTTTTTTTTTAACATCAAGGCCAACACCACCTTGTCTTGGGCATAACACCTCTCTCACTGTTCCCGTCCAACTGCTCGGGGTTTGCAACATCTCCACCTGAGGACATGGAGCTGTCTGAAAGGAGACTTCCATCAGCACCACCAGCATCAGGGAGAGGCTGTGAGGTGATGGCAGGCTGCAGGGGTGAATGTCCCTCATCCCTCCAGGGTCTGGGGAGCTTTGTGGGGCCGGGGCACGTATCAGGCACAGGAGGATAGGAGGTGCTGCCCCACTTGTGCTGTGGTATCTGGAAACTCCCGTGTTCCTGAGGACGAAAATGTAGGGCAGATCTTGGGTTGGGAAGAAAATTAAAATGTTCTCAAGAAATGCAGCTAAAAAGTCAAGTGAGAAATTAAATGCTGCTTGGCAAAGGTACAGGGACTCGGATCGCCGGAGGTGGGTTTTGCCCTGGGAGCTTTCCCTGCAAACAGAGCAAGGAGGGGAAAGAGAAATGCTTTGCCCAGACACATGCCACCAGCCCCATGGTTCAGAAGGGATTTTTGCAAATCACTGCTCCTTGATGTGACCATGCCAGGGAGTCATGCTGCCCTGCTCACCAGGCAGGACCTGAGGGCAGAGAACTCATTTCAACCATCAGGGAGAAAAAATATTTGAGTGGCAGGAGGGGAAGAGGCTTGCACAGAGCCTGGAAAGGGCTGAGTCATTTGCTGACGGTGTCAGCAGCCAAAGAGAAAGCGCTGCTGCCAAACAGCCACCTGGATCTGTGTCAGAGCATCCTTTAAAAAAATTATAATAAAAATTTAAACTGACAGCCTCTCCCGCATCCCGGCGGAGAGCTACGTGTGCAGCCGGGGAGTTCCCTGCAGAAAGCAGCAGCGGTGGAAAATGCCCATCCCTGGCTGCAGGTGCTGGTTTCTGTTGCAACACCTCCCTTGGGGCTCGCGGAGCAGGGGAGGCTGCACAGCTCTCCCACAGGAACCGGG